CCCAGAGGATACTTGGTCAAGGACCGGAAGTCGTGAGCTGCTTGAGTCATATGTAAAAGAATCGTTTCTGGCCACTCCCAAGTGAATGGCGATCAGAAAATTTTCCTCACTTGCGTGAACTTCTACACATGACTCCATCCTCCACTGATATACTGATTTATATACTGTCATAAAATCGGTAATCAAAATCCGTTTAAACATCACTATAAACGGTTGCCAAACTTTTAATGTCCAAGTTTAATTTACGGGAAAAACCGATAAAACTTTGGTATAATATATTGATTTATCTAAATAAGCAAATTTTCAAATGCTTATATGTTAAGCTTACCTTAATTCAAACACAACCAAAAAAACAAAAAGCAGCCAGTATTTACATACGAAAAATTTCCGGCAGTTCCTTATGTTTAATAAAGCAATAAGCACGACTGCATACAGTAACAAAGCAAAGGCAGAAATATTTAAAAACATAAAACAGACGACAGAAACACAAACAAAACTAAAATAATTATATTTACATACATATATGCATATATGTATATTTACTTAGTGGGAGCATGTGTTCATTATACACATGTATATATAATTGTCAAGCGCAAAGTCTATATACTTATATAGATACTATGTAAAAGTACATATTTACTTACATACATATGAACATATATGGACATAAGAGAAAATAACTTTTTCAATACCGTGTTCAATATCTCTCTCTCACTTTTTCAAAAGAAAATATAATAACATTTATATACAAATATACGGCAAAGAATCTGCCTGATCTACCTATCTAAATACTAACATAAGGACGGAAAAAGTGTTAATAAATTCAAAGTGCGAATTTCATAAAAATAAATCGTCTAAATAATAAATAAATAAWATCAAAGATATTTTCAAACTTCAAACTAAAATATAAATAAATAACATCGTTTACCAAGTAAATAAGAAACGACATTAATAAAAAAACAAATAACCCGTTTATAGGAAATAAACTCTTATTTATTGAAAATAGAATTCGGTTTATTGTACATACATACAGTAAAAATAATGAATAATAATCAAAATATACCTGCAGGAGCTACACGCTCAAAACAGGTTGCTAAGTTTATTTCAGAAAGTGACAGTTTTTTAAGATACTGCACTAGATTTGCATCTTCATCGATTAACGAAACTCGGAATCGTTATTAGAAAAAAAAGTCAAAATCTTAAAAATTTTTGGACTCGCCTCCAAGTGGTTCATCACGCCATTGTAGATGCTGACGATTCAGATCTACCACAAAATTTTAAATTATCTACTTACGCCATATACGAAAACTGCATAAACCAGTACGAAGAAACAAAAGGTATGATATCAGCTAAAGCTAATTAAAGCAATTGCATCTACTGTCTGTACTCTACTGAAATAGACAGTCAAAAGGCAAGTTCTGTCATCCATCTCTCTTTGTGGAGGTTATGAAGAATGGCCGTCCTTCCGGAACATATTTACAGCCGTTTACATTAACCATCCAAAATTATCACAAGCGCAAAATTGTATTGCATAATAGTTAAACAATTCACTCTTAATGACGATATTTTCAATTTGGCTTGGGAAGCTCTAAAAGCTTGAAAGAATACTGGTCGATAGGCAAGTAACACCTAAAATCAAGAAAGAAACAAATGAAGACGGTGTAAGAATACAATCCACTGTTTCTGTTTGTTTGTCGATTCTGTCGATACAAAATATTACCACAAACAGCTGGGACCCAATTCTGGTAAACATTTGCACCGCCGCATTACCAGAAAAGTTGTTACTTCTATGTGAGCAATCGCTTTCATCAAGAAGAAAGTACCCAATGTGGCAACAAATGTAAGACTTCCTAATTTCCCAATATGAAATTGCGGAAAGGGTAGAAGAAGAAATAATCAAAACTAAGAACATTAAACACGACCAAAGTGGAAGCTTAAATAGACCCCAAGTTAGTAACAAAAACAATTCAAGGCAAAAATATTCACAAAACGCAATCGCTCACACCTGAACAAAGAAAACATAAACTTACATATTGCGAAAGGTTTAAAAACTTAACGAACGAAATAATTTTGTTAGGTCAAAAAAACTTCGCACAAATTGTCTGTCACATGCGCATACATATACAAATTGCAAAATCATATTTAATTGCTTATATTGTCAAAAAAAGACACTATTACCTTAAGCAGTAATCCATGAAATATTCGTGAAAATACCACGTCAAATGCGAAAGTTTTCCATGCAAGTTCTTGATTTCGATCGTTTGGTTTGTTATGGCAACTATATTGTATAGTGAGCCGATTTGAACAATTTCTTCCGAAATTACATTGTTTCTATGAATAAGTACTCATATAAAATTTCGTGAAGATATATTGTCAAATGAGGAAGTTTCCCCATTTTATTCCGAAAATTCAGTTTGTATTGCAGTTATATGCTACAGTTAACCGATCTGAACAATTTCTTCGGAGATTACGTTATTGCCTTAGAAAATAATCTATACCAAATTTCGTGAATATATCTTGTCAAACGTGAAAGTCTTCCATACAAGAACTTGATTCCGATTGTTCCGTTTGTATGGCAGCTATATGCTATAATAAGCCGATCTGAACAATTTCTTCGTATATTACATTATTACCTTAGAAAATAATCTGTGTAAACTTTTTTGAAGATGCATTATCAAATGTGAAAATTTTCCATACAAAAACTTGTTTCCGATAGTTCAGTTGAGTGAGTTCATTTTAATCAGTGTAAATCGGTCGGTTTTTTTAAATCTGGGATTGACAAAACGTCGACATGAATGTAATAAAAAAGGCGTTGGCTGACAATGTTTTCGAGTCTTGATGACAGTTTTCAAATAAATAGGAAATATTTGAAGGTATTAAAAATTCTTGGTCATCACTTTCCTTAAAATACTTTTGTATGAATCGCTACCAAACAGTATCTTCGAGATCATCCTCACAAAATGAGGATCGATTCACTATTTGAATAACACACAAATATTTAAATTAATTAATACATAAGTTTATAAATATATTCTTGTTTGAAAATGTTTAAAAAATGCTGAAAAACGGGATATTTGCTAACCTGATGATTTAATTTAAATAGTTAATTGTTTTGTTGATTTCAAAAAAAAAAAATAAATAAAATAGTATGGAAAAATTTCGTTTAGGTAGTCCGCTAAGTTCTGGTTTAAAAAAATATTATTAACCGAAAGAAGGAATCTTGGTTAAGTTTACCAGAATTTAACTGACATATTTATGCTAACCAGAAATAAAGAAAACAGCCTTAATTGTTGTTTCATTTAGCAGCAAACGATTCGTTCAAAATCGGCAATATTTTTAGAATTGTAGCCTCTTTAGTGTTGATAGAAATTAGCTAAAACTATTTAAATCCGAAATGTGCTGCAGTTGTATATATTTATAGTTATTATACATAAATGTTACATTTTCATAAACTATTACGATTCTTCAAAATTATTCATATGAATCAATTTGAAAACCTGAATCAATGCACAGAAATTTAGTAATTTTACCACGAGCGTACAAATTAATTCAATTCTACTAAACATACATTTATTTAAAACTTTATTCAACTTGATTGTTTTTTTTCCTTCATGTTTCAATTTACTATTTATGAACTCAGGTTGAAGCCGGGCTTTCTTTCTGAGGCTTTGGTCAAACGATAGAAAAATAAAAACTTTGTTAGATGAAAGTGAATTTTTAATATTTTTCGTAATGGATTCGAATGTCTATTTTATTATCTTTCTGAAGTTCATAAAGAGCATTCGGCGATTTTTACGATGAGTGAAATTATTCAACAAAGACAGTCCATTAAATTTTGTGTGCGGAATTTCAAATTTCTGGTGGCGAAACGTTCAGAGTGTTGGAAAAGGCATTCGGAATTGTTTTTCCCGAACAAGTGTTTTTGATTGGTACAAAATATTCAAAGAGGGTCGAGAACGCGTTGACGACGAAACACATCCAGGACGGTGATCAATATCAACTGATGATCAACACGTCAATAAAATAAAGGATTGGTGCTTGAGAATCGACGATTAACAGTCAGAGATCTTACTGGCATCGTTGGAATATCGGAAGAATCAGTGAAAATCGTTTTGAAAGACCATTTAGGCCTAGCAAAAATTAAATCCAAAGGGGAATCCGAGAGAGGGATTGCCTGTAGGGGACGACATAGATTTGTATGAATAAATTAACAATTTAAATATTATGATTAAAGTACTCTTTTTTTTTGTTCATAGTAGCATATAACTCAATCAGAGATAAACCCATATATGAATTAAATTTTTTAGTTTCATTTTTATTGTTAATAACAAAGCAAAGTATTTTTGTAAATTTTTATTTATATGATGAATGTAATTAATAATTTAATCAAGAAAACAAAAACTCAAACCTAGCAATTACGTTTGTTAAAATTTTTTTTACACCATAGGAAATTTTTTCATCCAGCTCAGCACAGGAAAATGCTACAGTTTGGCAAACAACCTGAGGATAAAAATCGACAACTACCACATTCCATTACAATGACGATTATATTGTTATATAATAATACAATAACAAAAAAAAAACTCTGGTAAAAATTTGGTTGTCATAAATTCTCTACCATTTCATGCAGTAAGACATTTTAGATAAAACGTGTTTCTATTTTCACCCATTTGTGAAGTTTTATAAATACTTCTGGCTGGAGTAGAAACTCTTGTCAGGTTAAAAAAATTAACATTATTTCAAATAAAACCAAATTAGATGGAAATAAATTTTATATTTTTTCGCGAAATGTTTCAACCTTTTGATTTTATATCATTCACTTTATGTACAACTTTAATTTTACAAGTTCATTTCGTTTAGGTATTGACATTGAACAGGTTACGATTGTTGTTAATTTCGATTTACCCATGGACGCGAAGGGGAACGCTGATTGCGAAACATATTTACATAGGATTGGTCGTACTGGAAGATTTGGTAAATATAACAATTTTACAGATTATAAACAGCTTTTATTTCGTAATATTTTTCAGGCAAAAATGGTATAGCAATTAATCTGGTAGATGGAGAGAAGTCTATGAATATTTGCAAATACATTGAAAACCATTTTAAGAAAACTATTCAGCTTTTAGATACAGGCAACTCAGATGAAATTGAAAAGATTGGATATTAATAAAATGTTATAAATTACCTATATGTTGACTTGATTCAATTACTCACATTAGTAGTAATTATATAAAACAAAAAGGAAAGTGTACTACTGCAACCGTTTTGGAAGGGAGTGCTTTCATATAATTGCATTACAAAAAAGTGATACGGGTATTCATAAATAAAAGTTTAACATAATAAACCATCGTTGTTAAATTAACATTTGTAATGCAATTTTACTTTAATAAGTGTAAGTAAGTAGGGAGTTATGTGGTTTCAGCTTAAATCTTGAGCACAGCTCTATTTTAAAAAATTAAAGTGCAAATAATATAGTTTTTCATTTGGTAAAGCCATTTTAAGCATGCAAAAGTGTTGTAATCGTACTAAACCATTACTGTCCAGGTTACTGAAATTTTACGATCGGCAGCGTTCTTCCTTCTAATTCAATGCATGCCAAATAGTATTGGAAATAAAAAACCACGGAGGATATATAGGTTATTAAAACACCGATCAAAAATTCAGAAAATTTTATGATAATATTATAAAAAATATATAATATCGTGGTGACTGAAGTCATTTCGCGAAGTACTCCTTTCTGCGTTAGCGACCTTCGGCCACGAATTAAAACAATAACCCTGGCCGAGACAATAMCCAGGGTAACTGAAATACTTTTGCGTAGTACTCCTTTAAAAATTTAAGTATTTTATTAAGTAATATTATTTAATATTAGTTAGTTGTTTATTCAATTTTAATAAGAAAATATCGATATGCATGGAAAGATTGCTTAAACTCATTTTAATTTGAAATATTTATTTTATATAGATTACTGAGATTGCTAAATAAGGAAAGAGGAATTATAGCGAAAAAGAGAAATTTCGGCGAATTGCCCATATTTGCTTATTATCATAGGGCAGCTCTCCATTAAATTATAAATGCGCGTACAATGTGTTTAATGTGGTGAAATAGCTTGAAATGTTCGAATTTTGGGAATTTTTTAACTTTAAGGTCGAATATCTCGTAAACTAAGCGATTGTGGTACCTGTAACCCTATATACAAATCGGAATTGTGCCCAAAACTTGATCCAAGACTTAATAAAATCATAAAGTCAAATGCTGAAAAATTTATTGAGTAAAAAATGAGTTTACTAAATATCTGTATATATAATGCTAACGGTGTTAACCAACATAAATTAGAGATTATTAGATTTCTGTCTGAAAAAATATAGATGTAATGCTTATATCAGAAACTGATCTAACAAATAAAAATAAGTTCAATATACCGGTATTTAGACTCTATGTTACAAATCATCCGGATGGAATAGCGCATGGTGCACGACAGTGTTGATTAGAAATCGTTTAAACCACTATGCTCCAGAAACTCATGCTACACCACAGTTACAAGCTACAACAATATCACTAAAAAATCGGGGTTGTGACTTAAACTTTACGGTTTTATACTGTCCATCTCGTTTTAAAATCACAGTTACAATGTCCCTTAAATGTTAGCTTTTTATCTTATTCTTAAGATGTTAGTATGTGGTATTTGAGTATTTTCAAGGGAAAGGTTAGGGAAGGTGCAATTTCTTTTTCTGTTGAACTTTTGCTTGCAGAAACTTTGGTTCCTGTCGCTTTAGACCATTCCGTTATGTCGTTCAGAATATTATTAAAAATTGGTTTTGACTTCGTTTCAGTTTTAAAGCCGAGAATATTAATACATTGTCAGCGTACAAAAGGTAGTCAACGTTGCGGTTTGAGGCTATTAAGTTGCTGAGGTGATTAAGGGCTATAATAAATAACGTTAATGAGAGAGGAGATATTTTTGGTATGCCTTGTTCTAATATATTATTATATAAAGTTACCAATCTGGATTTTAAGGACTGTGGGAAGTTTTTTAATAGGGTGTAAGAAATTTTGTCTGATCCAGGTGTTTTTCCGAACATTGTGCTGATGGCAAAATAAAATTAGATTGAAAGTTTGAATTTTTGAAATAGTTTGACTATAATTTGGCAAAATTTTCTACGATTGTTTGTGGATCATAAATAGGACCTAACGGTGATTGGATAAAGTCGATTTTGATAGTATCCACCTGAAAGAGCTTTTATGTCACTGCATATTGTTTTAGTTCTTGAAGGGGGTTTTATACTAGCGGTTAATTTTTCAAAAGTTTTCCGTTTTGCGTATTTAAGTTTTGTCCTGAAATTGGAATTTGCTTTTTTATATCTCATTAAATTTTCTGTTGTTCTATTTTGTTTAAATGTAGTCCAAAGTGATTGCTTTGTGCTCCTGTTCTAAGGATATAAGCTTGGACCAATACGGGAGTTTTATGGTCAATTTTGTTGTGTTTGTTTGAGCAATGGCTAGATGAGCACCGGAGCGTATAACTGTTTTATATTCGACGCTTCTACAATTATATTTTTTGACCTTATTCTAGTGTTGGTAATTATGTTAATCAGGGCGAAGTATTTAAGCCAATCGGCTTTTCTGTAAAAAAGATCCTTCTCCACATGGTCCTTCCAACGGTGAGGTCTTCCTCTTCCTCTGCTTCCCCCGGCGGGTACAGCACCGAATATTTTCAGAGCTGGAGTGTTTTCCTCCACTCGGAACACATGACCTAGTCAGCTTAGAAGCTGCCTTTTAATTCGCTGAACTGTGTAAATGTCGTCATATATCTCATACAGCTCATTGTTTAATCGAATGCAAAATTCGCCGTGGGCAACGCGCAAAAGACCACAAATCTTTCGCAGAACTTTTCTCTCGAAAACTCGCAACGTCAACTCATCCGTTGTTGACATCGTTCAGAATTAATATCATCAGCATACGCCAGCAACTGCACACTCTTATAGAAGATGGTACCTTCTCTACTTAGTTCTGCAGCCCGAACTATTTTCTTCAGAAGCAGGTTGGAAAAGTCGCACGATAAGGAATCGCCTTGTCTGAAACTTCGTTTGGTATCGAACGGCTCGGAGAGGTCCTTCCCGATTCTGACTGAGCTTTTGGTGCTGGTCAACGTCAGCTTACACAGCCGTATAAGTTTTGCAGGGATAC